CAGAGGAACCGAAATTGCGTCTCTCATGTCTAGCCAGAGAAAGAGTGAAAGCGTGGAGAACGTGTGGTTAATTTTTCGCACTTTTTCGCTCCTCCACTGGACTGCAATTGCTCTGGCGGTGGCAAATCGACATGACCACGCTGCATCGTTTATGTGGTGACGTGATGAGACGTCGAGAAGAAGTGGCACAAACCCACTCCATACAAAGACGATGCTTCAATAGTTGAATGGGGACTTGAGGACTCTCCCTGTCGGCTTCGGCCAAACCCACTTGTTTGCGTAGAGTAACAGCTTGAGGGAGAGGGGCGGTAGAGGGTTAGCGCTTAGCAATGTTGCAACTCTTGAGGTAACAACTAAGGCACGAGGAGGGGAGAAGTGACGGCAAATTCCCTTTTACTGACAGTTCCCTTAGGCAGGCATTCGACAACCCTCTTGCAAATGCGCCTTATGACGTGTTAGTTTTACATCCATTCCTAGTATTCACTCTTGTATTTTCCTTTCCAAGACTACTAAGAGTACAAATAGGAGGAGGTGATCTTCGCCTTGAATCCGATAACTCATCTGGCGGATGACAATTCAAAACAGACAGCGAATCTCATCGTCAATTGGGCTGACGTACTGAAGCTTTTACGTGATTTAAACGCTTTATTTCGCCCAGTCCACATTTTTATTTTCCTTCTTCCTTGACCATAATTCGTTTGTCTTTCAATTCGAAAGTTGTCATCAAATTTACAAAAAAATTCCCTTTTATGGGGATTCCATTATACTAGTCTGGACAAATGACTGCGGTCCTTCTAGTTTGATGGCATAGATTAAAACGTTTTTGTCTACAAAATCATTCTAAGGAGAACAACAATTTGGATGTTGACAGCCATCATCAGCAATCGCCGTGGAGGTGGGGGGTGGAGAGAGAATCAGTCACGAAGTCGTGTTGGAGATCAAGAAATCCCACTCCGCCTACGCGGCTGCAAAATTTGCTAGTTTCTTCTTTTGCCCCTCTTTGGCGTAATGGACAGGAAGATGACTGAAAACAAAATCATTTTTGGGTTTTCAGGGGAAACTATTGGCTAGATGTCTCAACCAACTTGAACCTCGTTTGAGTTAAATCGTAAGTGGGGTCTACAAATCGCCCTAAATTTTAACCATATTGAGCTAAAGTTATGAGAAATTGTAAGAAACTGTGTGGCTATGCTATCTTTTCTTTTTCACTTTTTAAAAAAGTATCTTGAGGTGTTTTTATGTCCCATCCAGACGCTGTTCTGCTACACACCTTGTCAAGTACTGCGATGTCAGAAATTGTCACGCGAAATCGAACATCAGCTCGTTAAAGTTGTCTTCGAGCCCTTAAGGCTTCTCCTCACGCCTAGCCAAGTGCTTGGTAAGGGCCTAGAAACGTTCAAATTTGGGCGGGAAAGTCGAAAAAATTCATTTACGCTTCCTTTGGGCGTTCCCGTAGACCCTACCTTTATTCTGCGTCATTCATGCTGAACAATTAAGTCTCGACATGCACAACAGCTTAATGTGGTTGGTACTCGGAGATTCTGTCAGT